ATCAATTTGCATATAAGTCTTTATTAATTGCCATTTTTCCTTTATTCCACTCATTGTTTATATTCTCAGAATGCATAAAGTGTGTCAAAGTGAATGTAGGTCAGTCGGCGCTGTGTTTTGGCCTAATAATCATCTCCATTCCCAGTTGACTGTCTTCATTAGAGGATAGTAATTCACTGTTTCAGTGATCCTGTTGTTGCACACAGCACTGACGTCTGTCTGTTTATAGTGACTGTCTCGCGTGCTGATTCCTGTGCCTGCTACATCACATTTTCATTTGTACACATCCACAGCAGACTTTGTTGTTTGGAGTGGCCTAGTCAATTTGTCTTTGTCTGTTTCTCACTTTCTGCCACATTTGTACCTCCATCATCTTCAATAACTGTGATCTCTGTGCCCTTGTGTTGTAGGTATCCATAGTTTCAGAGTGTGGAACCACTAAACAATAGGAAAACACATTCATACATGACTGACAACAACACATCAGTGCACTTGTTAGTGGAATTTATTTTGGTGAGGGTGGTGCAGACAGAGCACAACTTAGAGTATACACTAACATATTCCGATGTTTTTATAAGGCCTTCAAGAGTGGGAACGTTAGGCTGTGTTTCCATGGCTGGGATAAATGCGGTCTCTGACACTTACTTCTTTCCCCAGCAACAAAAAAAAAAAAAAAAAAGTTGAGGTAGTCTCCAGTGTGTCTGAGCAGTCATTCTACAAACAACAGAAAAAAAAAAAAAAAAAAAGTTGAGGTAGTCTCCAGTGTGTCTGAGCAGTCATTCTACAAACAACAGTAATCTGACTGTGACGCACAAGGATTTACATTGTTCATGTATTGGCACAGTGGTCTGGCCAAAACTGTAATTTGAAGAGCATTTAATTTTTGCTAACGTCTTGAAATTTTCTAACACCTGTTCCGTCTCTGTAAGATTTTGAATTTATGCGGTTAGTTTTTTATTGTGTCCTGAATTAATTCCTTAATTAACCTTCTTTTTTTAAAAAAAAAAAGGCAATATTTTATTAGTGAGGAATTACGTGTAATAGTAAGCAAACGAGAATGTGGGCAGTGATTCAATGCAAACTCTTTTTGTTGAGTTTTTCAAGATTTGTATCTGTGCACAGGCACACAAACACAGCCCTGCCTCTACATTCAGGCATGATTTATCCTAAGTGCCTTGGTCAAGAGTGAGCATCGTCGTATTTGGGTCAGGGAGGAGGTAGGCTGACATGCACACACACACTTTATGCACACACACGTACACACAAACATGCGGACACTGAGACTAATCTGTTAAAGAGACTAGCACACAGACAGCAAAATCTAATGACTGTAGGCGGTGTGTTGGCTTGCAGACCATTACAGGTACCTGCTCTTCTCTAAGATACAAGCGCCTCTGTTAAGGCACATAAAAAACAAATGTAACAGATTTTGTATTTCATGACAGTCACGAAAGCCACGTTTATATTCTGTACCAAGAGTTTGCACTGAATCCCTACCCAAATTATTGTTTGCTTAGTATCGTACTTAATTCCTAAGTAAAATATTGCCTGTGCTTTTAAAGAAGGCTGATTAATTACTCAACCACATATCAAGGACACAAAAGTTCATAACACCCATCAAGAATATGAATGTACAAGAACAAAACAGAGACAGCATTAAACATTAAAACATTAAAACCACCTACTTAATGTTGTATGGGTCCCCCTGTTGCTGCCAAAACACTGCTGAATGATCAAGATACAAGACCTTATGAAGGTGTCCTGTGGTATCAGATCCTTTAAGGCCTGTATATTGTGAGGTAGGGACTCTGTGGATCTGACTTGTTTTTCCAGCACATCCCATAGATGAGCCATTGGACTAAAATTTGAAGCATTTGGAGATCAAGTCAACACCTTTGTCAATTTTCTCACCATTTCTGTACTTTTTTTTTTTTTGGTGTGGCAGTGCACATTATCCTGCTGAAAGAGGCCCCAGACATCAGGAAATACTGTTGCCATGAAGGAGTGTTAATGGTCTGATACAGTTGTTTGCTGGCTGGCATGTGTCAAAGTAACATCAACATGAATGACATGACCCAAAATTATTGGGTATTGCCCAGAGCATCACACTGCCTCCACTTACTTGCCTTTCCCCCATAGTGCATCTTGCATCCATCTCTTCTGCAGGTAAATAACACACATGCACCTGGTTGTCCACATAATATGAAAGAAAATATGATTCATCAGACCAGGCTACTTTCTTCCTTTGCTCCATTTCAACTTAAGCGCAAGTCTGTAGCAAAGTAGTCCCAGCAAGTTGCGATACACTGTGTGTTCTGACACCTTTCTATCATAGCCAGCATTAAAGGTATCTGCAGTTTGTGCCACAGTAGCTCTTCTTTGAGATCTGCTTCCTGCTTCCACACATTGACTTCAAGAACTGACTGGTCATTTGCTGCTTAATATATCCTAGGTGCCGTTGTGACACCATAATTATTGTTCTTCACTTCATCTGTCGATGGTTTTATTGTTGTGGGCAAACAGTGTACAAGTACTCATTGTCAAATTGAGTTCAAATATTGCACAACAGAACCCCAAGATTCTTTCCATATATATTACTGACATTTTGAAATATTAGGTCACATTTTCTTCATGTGTAAAAACTGAAGCAAGTTTGCATAACCATTTGGTAAAGTTTGGCCCTAGATGAGTGGACCACAGATCACACGAGTCTGCGGCACCTTGGGCAGCTTGAAATAAATTCAGCATCTGTTTGTTTTACACTATTATGGAATGTAGATTTATGTCAGTATATTTATTATTTAGAATGATTAAAAACAGCAAAAGTTCTTATGATGTGGGAAATCTGAGAATTGCGTGTCATCTCAAACCTAAACTTTTCCTGTTAAAAGAAAAGCTGATTTTAAAAAAAAAGTCTGCAAAAAGAAATATATCCTTGTTAATGCTGTTTAGTAAAGTGAAAGGAATTGAGTGATTCTGAAAGGTCCATTAGTAACCTTCTCTGTGCGTGTGTGTGTGTGTGTGCCCATTTGTAACTCAGTCCCTGTAACAGCTCAGCACTTACTGCCCCCCTGTGCCGGAGCAGGGTTTCCTGCTTTTCGTTCCCTACCTCTCCTTTACTCTCCCACTCTTTCGCTCTCTGTTTACGCTCATTCTAACTCTGTGGGAGACAAGGCCTTTCCTAAAGGAGTCTTTGTGCATGTCCGAGTGAGGGAAAGAGAGAGAGGGAGAGTGAAATGCTACGGTGAGACAAACAGTAAGCGAGAGGGAGAGGAGGATACTGGCCGACTGTGTTAAGCCTGGCCGGAGCCCAGTCCCACAGTGCCACAGAGCCCGGTTCTGTTTACCTCCAAAGACACAGACTCACCAGGAAAATACAAAAATCTCACACATTTACAAGTCTCTACGCTTTCTTTCTAGTGAGCAAAGCATGTTTTTAATTGCACTTTTAGCCAGAGACTTTTGCAGTTAATGATTACAAATGATCTGCACTGTGATTTGGCTGCTCACTAGATTGTGATCAGCACTGTCAAACCCTTTAAGTATAGCCTGTAATTCTCATGATGCATCCATTGAAAACTACCTTCTGCATTGCATAAGGAGTCAATGACACTATGGGTCCTCTGGGTGAGAGTTAGTTGATATCCAACATAGCTGTTAATGGTTAACTTAAGTCAGGTTAGAGTCCTCTGACTCTATGTTCATGTGCATTTTCCCTTTGCTATGCTGTTTGCACTGGGCAGGACAATCTCCAAGAGTACTGGTTTGTAGATTATACTATTAGAGGCACACACACATTCACAGAGATTGTGTGAAATTCTCGGAAGCGGATTTATAAACATTCGGATATACAACACTTTTCAAACATTTAATCAACACACGGGCCGATTTTGAGGTGAGTGGCAGTTTTCCTTTTGTTATCTAAGGCTAATATTGAGAGAGGAATCATGTGCTGAAATGTGTGGCATAGAAAAGCTATTTGTCATTGCTGAGAGAAAGAAGTGTTTAATATCTGTCTAATCAGCTGTCAGACTGAGTACACTTTATGTTGAGCCGGCATGCCATTGACATCTGTCACATGCCAAATAACAGTAGCAACAGTTTGGGTGCGGTTTGCATTCTTGTCTGCTTTAAATGGTTTTTGAAGAACTATTGTACACAGCTCTGCACCTGAGCCAACCAAATACCGTGTTACTCCATTAATATTGCTGCTTTGTATCATTGTTTATGCTAAAAAAGTTGCTGTATGAAATACTGATTTTTCAATTTATTTTAGTAGTACTATGTTTTGTCTGTTTTCAGTGAAAGAGCCCTCAGGTGGAATAAGATTTGATGAAGGGGTGTTGTTTCTGTCAAAGAAGGGCTGTTTACTTTAGAAGGTTATTTTCAAGTAGACATTGATTTTGTGTCACTCTAGTATTTTCTAAAAGTATGGCTTAGATAGCTTAGGTGTGACTTAAAGAGAGCATTAGTAGATTTAAAGAACAAAAACAAAAAAAAAAACGTTATTCAGATGAGTCTTCAAAATAATGGAATAAACAACTGCACCATGGCGGTATCATCTTGACAACCAAAATGATCTTCTCAGCATATCTATGGACTCTTGTTGTGTCACAAACAGAAGCAGAAAGACAGAAAGAAGTAATCATTGGTATTCAGGCTGCTCCTGAGGTAGAAGCAGTGGGTTGTATTCATTAGGCTGTCATGTTGTGTAACTAAGACTAAACTTAAAAAAGAAAAAAACAGAAATGACTCACAGAGAATCAGATTATAAAAAGATGTGCTTCTCAACATATGATATGCTGTTTTGTTACAGGATAAAAACAAAATGAATTCTTGATGGATTGATCCATATTTCTGTCAAATCAAGCACACAATGTGGAATGACTGCTTGTTCATTTATTTTTTTCTAACATACAGTACTAATGCAAATTAGGAAACGACACGAAAAATGTTAAAAATATTTCTTTTCATGTATCTTTGCGGTTGTCGTTGCTCAGGAGGAGAATGAAGGCACATGCCCCACCTCCGCCACAGGCCCCTCAACCGGCTCCCCGCCACATCTTCAGAAACACGGCACCTGATGGGGGAGGGACATCAGGGATGGACGCCAAGGAAAACATACTGAGGCCCACCGTGGATGTACAGTTAACCCTACCACAGGGACAGCGGGTTTCTATAACTGAGGATGGAAGGTGAGAGGAAAGACAGCCGTACAAGCCTCACTCATTTTTTTAGTGTTTATATGTGAGCATTTATATCCATACATATGAAGCTCTTCATTTATGCTCAGCTGAAGAATAGGATTCCATGAGCTGACCTTCAATGTCACTAAACAGTGTGAGATCTGTTTGTTGCTCCTGCGTCTGCTTTCCGCTGGGGCCTTTTACAGGGGTTCCCATTGCCATCCTCAGCACAAGCTTTGTCCCAGAGAGTCGGCAGCTGACCTGCTAATGCTCTCTGTCGCTAATGAGGTTCTGTCTTTTGGGGCAGAAAATTAGAGACAAAATAACAAGATGCACTTTCAATAACCATAGAGAAACTTTTGGCCAGCAGGTGTCTCTGTGACACTTCTCACTGGTTAGAGAAAATTAAATTGGTTTTTCAATCTATTGGATAAGTGACAGTGGACCTTTCTTACTTAAATATGCAGAACTATTTATTAATCTGCATAACATTACATAGAGCCATTTCAGAAGGTTGTGGTGCGTATGTAGGCACAGGGTTCCTTTCTGGTAATCTTTCTTATTGTTTGTTTTTCTGATAGAATCATATTATAGTCACAAATAGTTTCATAATGACATTACAGTAACAACATCAGAGCCTGATGCTGTGATAGTTCATTGGACATTGAAATCAATTAGCTGTCCACGAATAAACTAATAAATTCCCAAGTATTCTGAGAACCAATTAATTGGCTCGAGTAAGATTTTAAGAAGAAAAGTCTAATTCTTTTGACTTCAGCTTTTAAAAATGTAAAACTTTCCATTGTCTGTACTCTGTGACAGAAAACTGAGTATCTTTGGATTATAAGCAAAGCAGGCATTTTCAGATCGATATTTTTCATCATTCTTTGACAGTCAATCGATAAATTGTGACAATCATTAACAATAAATCTACAATTATCTACAATAATCTTTAGTTTCAGTCCTATAGTTCATATGGTCATTGAAAAGATAAGGCTTAGGTGTCATAAACACATAAATATTATAAATCACTGACACTGAATGTCCATACCTGTCAGGACTGCTGAATTGATCGTGGCAAACTTCAAGGATTACTTTAAAGCTAAAGAGAGTAACAAGACAGAGAAATGTTACCTTAACAACTAACGCTATAACCACTTGTATTAATGTAGTCAAAAAAAGGATATATATATATATATATATATATATAACATTTAATCATGAGCCAATTGATACTTTTATCAGTTTAACTTTTCATGTCCCCCAAACAGTCCTGAACTTCTAAGCTAGATAATGTATCATTTCACTCACCCATATGCTCCTTTTCTGGTTGTGTGTCTTTGTACTAATATCATGCTTTTGTTTACATTTTTATGAGTGCACCATCACATCAAATGAGTTATCTAGAGTCCTTCAACATGCAGGTAATGTAATGTGTCATATTTAGAATATTTATGACGTGTTTAAACTGCAATTCGGTGTCTCTGCTTGACCACAAAATCTGCATAACAGGACGTCAACAGGTTAAGATGTATAATTCATTAAGTACTTGATAGGATCATTCCTTTCAAATTGCAATTGTGTTGTGACATGTTGGAGATGAATTTACAGAATAAGCACACCGGACACTGGATCTATTGATCGCACAATTGCAGATTTTCATTTTAGTCGTAGACTGTGTCCACGTGTTAGTGATCGTCAATGGTGTCCTTTGTAGTGGTATCTCTCTCAGTTCTGTCATCTGATCTGGCTGTTCCCAGAAAACATTGGAGACTGTCTCTTGGTTTCTTTATCTGAGGATTGACAGGTACCACTATGGGCCTCCTCATCAGCCCCCCCACCAAACACACACAAAGCAATGGGCATAAGTAGATGTCATTATTTCTCTGTGCTACTTGTTGCTGCCATTTTTTTCTTTTTTTGCAGGAGGCTCTAAGGAGGTTTTGTTTGGATAGGTCATACAGAATAATTCTGCAATATCTGATAAATGCCATGTGTTGTTGTGTTTGGGTCTTTTTCCCCCAATCCTCATGGAAAAGGTAGAATTAGAATAAATAAAACTAAATTTTAGAGCAATAACTAAATATGACTCTTTAATGCTCATGTTCAGGATTTACTCCCTCTTCACATATGGTTTGTCATTGTTCAGTCAGTGTCAGAATAGAGTGGTATGTGTCTTTTGTCAACATCTAGCTGGATTTTTGTGGATTTTTCAAAATGGTTTTGGAGATTGCCAGGTTGTAAAATGCCATTATAACACAATTAGCCGAAAATGACCATGACCTCTTGATCTTCATGTGAAAATCAGTGCCAATACTATTCAAGTTATAGTTTGTTTGTGCATCAATCCATTGCAGGTGCATCAGGTGAGAGTGCGTCTTTGTTCTAATCTATTCTCTTTACTGCAGCTAAAGCTAGATCGGCTTTGTAACCCTATCTTCTGTTCTTCCTCCCTCTCTTTCTCCCCCCATCTCCTCCTCTTCTACTTCTACACCCCCACCACACACTTTCCCTCTCACCCCTCTGCTCGCTCTCCCTGCCTCTCTCAGTAAAGCACTGATGGACCTGCTGGTTGAACTCTGTAGTCACTATCACCTCAATCCGGCCTTGCACACCCTGGAGCTTCTGTCACCCGAGGGCCACAGTTTGGGCTTCAAGCCCAACGCTCTGCTGGGCTCCCTTAACGTGGCCTGTGTCCTCATCAAGGAGAAAGTCTTGGAGGAGAAAGTGGTGCGCAGACCGGCGCCCAAAGTGCCAGAGGTGAGTTGCGGTGGAGCCTGACACTCTGATCTGTATCCACTTTTTGTATGTTAGAGTGTATACCGTCACAGCATATTTAAAACCTGCGACTTTTTTGTTATGTCAAGCTTAGATTCTTGTGTGTTTTGTTGTGTGGCAAGATGTTTATCTTATATTTCAGTAAATCAAATGTAATAATAGAAGTGTGTAACATTTCAAGAGAAGAAATACCTCAAGGTTATCCATGTATTATGTTATGTATTTAGATGAATGCAGTCCAAAGTGCCAGAGATACACCTTCTCCCTAGTATAATAAAGTTTTGCAGTGTGCACGTACTATAGCTTTTACCTTGAAACTTTATGTATTTAATGCCTGTCCCACCCCTCTCTATCTTTACAATTGGCTACTGGCAGAAGGGAAGTTCAGTGAAACCTATAAGGGCGCATGCCAAGGTAGGAGGCTGGTTGGTATTAAACTGGCCAGCATATTGGAGTCAGTTTTTAATAGAGTGCCTTTTCATTCTAGGTGTGAATTTTCTGGGTGTATCCGCCATATTTCTTTCTTGTTGTCATCTGTTTTTACAGCTCACTAGTCTATCTGAATTTTTTATTTCTACGCAGAGTCTGTTTCTTTCTCTCTTCCTTTTTCTCTGCCTCTCCTTCACTCTCCTCCTACAGTTTGAATATTTGATGAGTGCCTTACCTTTAGTTACCATGCATTATTTCTCTGCTCTTCTCAGGGCTCACTGGCTGCTCTCTCTCCCTTTGACCCCACCTGGCCTTAGGCCAGAGGCCGACACTGCTGTCAGTCATTCCTCTCCTCTTTTTATCTCTTATTTTATTGTGCCAACACTCTCAGCAATTAAAATTAAATTTTTGCCTTATATGGGTTAAAATGATCAAGTTTTGGATGCTTTGTTTGAGGAAGGTGTTAATTAAACTTAATCATAATTTTGTGATATTTAATATTTAATTTACCTCACTGGTGTGAACGGACGTACAACACATTCATATGAAAGAAAGCAAAAACCAAACCTGCTGATTTTGGAAGACAATAACCATCAACCTGACTTTTACACATACAGTACAAAGGACCATTTCTCCCAATCTGTAAATTGAAAATGCATGATCTTTGCTGTGCTCTTGTCTGCCTCTGAATGTACAGAACCAAAATGGATGCTTTATAGTTATGTACATCACTGAAGAGTCACCAAGCCAATTGTCATTTTATGAATTCTTCTGGCTCTTGACATCTCTAATAACTTAGTGATGAAGACTTTTATTAAAACACAACACTTTGCTATTTTTTTAAGGTTGAAGGAGTCTGGCAGGTTAGAAATTACATCAATAGAAAGAGATGTAGAATTGTTGCAATTCATTACTGTTGCAAGTTGCAAATTTGGTAGAGTTGCATTTGACTATTTTTAGAACAAGTTCAATAACCTCAGTGTCACTGACTCATTGATATAAGGCAGTTATTTACTGCCATATTTGCAGTTTTGATCAGACCGATGTAAAAATGTCAGTGTTTGCGGAAGTTTTTGAAATCTCTTTCTGGTCTGCAGTTTGAGCCACAGAAACTTCCTATATTTAAAAATGATCCCAAGTGCCTTTTATCCATAAAAGCCAAGGTTGTTCATTTTGGCCTTACAGCTGTGCAGCGGTTACTGACAGAATTTGGAGATGTTTATTCAGGTGGACGATTAAAAAAAAAAAAAAAAAAAAAAAGAGTCCAGGGCTGTTAAGGAGTTAAATATACTCGTACATCACACGCATATATATTTATATACACAGACATGGTCGTCTTCAGTCTATGAAATGTTCTTTTTTCTGTCAGCAACCAAAGTCTAACCTTGAGTTACTCATTACTGAAGTGACTACATGTTTGCATGTCTTTGTCTCTGTCTTCTCCTCCCACAAATGTTACATTTGACATGTTTTGTTCTCACTGTGTATGAAAATAGGAATTTAAAGAAGCACATGAATTCAGAAGCGAGTTATGGTTTAAAATATATATATATATATATATGTCTCTGTCTTCTCCTCCCACAAATGTTACATTTGACATGTTTTGTTCTCACTGTGTATGAAAATAGGAATTTAAAGAAGCACATGAATTCACAAGCGAGTTATAGTTTAAAATATATATATATATATATATATATATGTTTTTATTGTCTTTTCAGTCAGCAGTTCATTCAGCTTAGTTAACATGTTTTTCACTAAAATGCTTTAATCTACAGCTACTGTATGCTAAGACAGTCGGTAAGCTTCAGTCATTTGTGTTTTATGTCTTTCATCAACAACAACCTCCTGTTTGCTGGTTGGTAGAGTCCCATCATTTCTTTGAGCTTCGGTGTCTAATTTTCCTCTTTATTCTCTCTTCTGTGTATCAGAAAACAGTGCGTTTGATGGTGAACTACCACGGCAGCCAGAAAGCTGTGGTTCGGGTCAACCCGTTGGTACCACTTCAGACCCTGATACCGGTCATCTGTGACAAGTGTGAGTTTGAGCCTGCACATGTCCTGCTCCTGAAGGACAGCATCAGTCGCCACGAGTTACAGCTGGACAAATCTCTCTCAGAGCTGGGCATCAAGGAGCTCTACGTACATGATCAGAGTCTAGGTAAACCTTAACTACATGATCTTGTCCATGTAATTTTCTGTTTCTTTGCAGGAGTGAAGTGTAGTATTTAGTGTCAACTAGTGGTGAGCCTATGGTGGCCATTTAACAAATTACAAAAATGCAAAATGCCCTCCCTGGAGGATGCAGAATATAAAGACTTTGTTCTACACTCAAGAAAAAATAGATATGTATACATTTCTGTCAACAGATTCTGCTAAATCCTACCCTCAAGTCCTCTTGTGTTGGACTATACAATAGATATTGATTATAGGATCATAATTGTGAGAGATTTTAAATTAAAAAACAATCTGATTTATACATTCGGTGTGTGTAAAAATACATAGCAAAAAATTTTTTAATTGTTAGTCGATGAGGGAAAATAAATCAAGCCCAAACCTTTGACTTATGTTGTGTAAAAGTGCTGGCTAGCATGAAGGGACCTAATTAAAGCAGATAAAGGACATCATCATGGGTACTGATGCTGGCACTTTGGCCTACTCAGCCATTGTGTCACACTGTCAGCTGTTGGCCTGCAAATATCATACCATGTAAGGTCTTTGTAAAATGTCAGAACATGTATATAAACAAATAGATACATATTGAGTAAAATCCTGTAAAATGTCTATTTCCCTTTTTGTACATTTTAATTATACTAAAAACTTAAAAATTTAGTGTAAAGACATTATATAAAAGACAATATAGTGAAACTGTAGCAAAGTTTTTTATGATCAAAATACCAAAGTTGCACAATAGGACTTATGTAATGCTTCTTAGTTCTCGGATGTGGCTGTGTTTAGGGACAGAGTGTCAGCACAAATGCTTACATTATATATTATTCAACTTGTATGATATTCAACGCAGCATGCTGTCCTGCAGCATAGCAGAACATGCTATGTTGCACAGTGTAAATTCAGCAAAAAAACTGTAGATAAGATATATTGTGCCTCAGCAGGAGGCAGGACAAAGTATGGACTGCATGCAAACACAGTCAGCAGTGTTTCATGAGAAAACCCAGCATTTCAGTATTTGTTGACCTACAGTTTTAAGTGTTGGTATTAGTTTAACCAGCGACAGGTCTAACTTTGCGTTGAGTTTATTACATAATGTTCAGCTAAGTCAACCTTGAGATAAAATAATTTGTCCTCGGGGTGTCATAATTAGAACATGTAATACTTTTTATCGAGAAGGAAGTTAAATGATAATCTAAGCTCTGATATCGTGGTTCATTCCCAGGTGACAGTCCACATCCGCATTGTTGATCAACATTGTTCAGTTGCAGTTTATGAAAGACATAAGCATGAACTTTACATTATGTAATTTTTATGGTCAAAAACTTTTAGTGTTTGGATGCTCGTAAGCAGGTTACACAGATAACATGTAACCTGGTTTATCATTATTCTTGTACAGAAAATCTACAAACTACTTTGTTTGTGTGATAAGTAGTTCAAATACATACTTTTTTTTTTGTTTTCGTCCTCTGGTGAAACACTTGTATCTGTGTTGTGCAGCTACCGTCGAGTAAATACAACACATTATCCATTCTTTGCGATGCAAGTCAGATATACATTCATAAATGTATGTTTTTGTTTTTTTTAAAAAACCTTGTCATGTTTTACAGCTTTCCAGCCTAAAATGGCTTCTGCCCCTGCTCTTAACTTCCCAGGTATTAGTCTGAAGTTTTGTCTGTGTTAGTGTTGCTGGTACCATTTAAATCCTTGTAGCTGTTTAACCCAATGTACTGCTGCTTGCTCATTAACCCCCCGTTGTTACAGCACACGTGTGTCAGCTTGTTAGTCATCCGTCTTGAAAGAAATGTTTTTTTGATATAATCTAACTCTTAATTTTAATATCTGTGTGAACATCATCACTGTCTGTCATTTTGAAATGCTTTATTAAATTTTTCGTTTTCCTTTGCTCTATTTAGAACCCAAGTAACTGAGTAGTATAGCTTTAACATTTTTTTTATTGGTTAGTTTACCTTCTCGCCCTGTCGTCAGGCCGACTGTGTTATCCTGGCACATTCTTGCTTATTGCTTTGTAGACTGTAAAGGTTAGATAGAGGTGGGCTGTGAGAAAATAAACCTACAGCGCCCTCTGCTGAGGAAAATCAGCATTTTACTCTTTTCAGATCTTTGTAAATAAAATGTTCCATGTTTTGAAATTATGAAGAAAATGCATTTAATGTTTTATTTGTGTCTATCAGGTATCAAGTAAAGCAATTAAATTTCAGTCCAAAGGTACAGAAAACTGTAAGTTCAGGGTATTAGCTGTCATTAAAAAAACAAAACAAAATAAAAACACAGAATTTTGTTGTTAACCTAATTAATCTATGCATGCAGGAATAATTTGTCAATAACTTGTCAGTATGACACCGATTCATTCCTTTGAATATGAGGTTTTCACAGAATCAAAACCAACTGCTCTTTCACTGCTTCTCCTCTTTATTTTTTTCCAGACTCCATTCGCTCCAGTACTAGCAGTCTGGGAAGACCTGAGAAGAAAGGCCTCCTGGGAATTTTCCAGTTCAGCAGAAGGAAATCCAAAGTAAGACTCAAGATGATTGTTGCTGCTTTATGGTAATGTGCTGGATTTACAAAAGAAGTGCATTTATATCGAAGTAAGTCTCCTAGTTTTCTGAGTACAGTTACATTTTATTATCAGATTTTATATTGGTTATAAATGCACAGTGTTGTTTTACAATTTGCAGAGCAGCATTTATGTCATTATAACTGTCCACCAACTTTTGCAGTGACTCTATTGTACAAGCAGCATTACAAATATGAGATTGTGTAATAATGATTTACAAACTAACCATTGGCTGCACTTGTGCTGAGGAAAGCAACACGCATGGCTTAACAGTTGAATGCTGCATGTTCGCTGTGTCTTCTGTTTGCAGACAGAAACAAGATCTATGGACATGGATGACTATGATGAAACATTTATCCAAAATACAGACACACAATTTAATGTAAGTATTACTAATGCATCTCACAGTGTCCAGAGGTGAATTTAAAGTAGGATCATGGGAAACTGTAGCATTCAGATCTTATACAACAAGTGGTCAGAATAACAGGAACATAACCAGAGCCAGTAAAAACAATGCAAACCACCAACAAACGGGCAACATTTTTGTACTTGTTGCAGGTCAGTAGATCTCACCTACATGGTTCAGGGCTTCCTGTTGTTACGTCTATTTCCTGTCCATTTGTTGCATGGCTGAAAGACATTCTGTCTGATGTACGCTGTAAAAGATTGATCTATTTTTAATAATTTTGCATTGCCAGGCCATTCTGCAGCACAAAATCATCATCATTCTGCTACAAGGGGAAAAAAAACATAACACTCTGGCTTGTTTGTGTTCCTTCAAATCACAAACGACTTGTGTGGAACAAAGCAAAAGAAGCAGCTATATGTCCCCTTAAAACACTGATGAGTGGAAGTGTTCTTGTGGAACATCAAAGGGCTGTCATTAAAACGACTAATTCACAGAAATAAAGTCAATTTTTTTTATGCCCGTAATCAACATCCCGGGAGTCAGACTAGTGGACAGAGTACACTGTTTTTGAGTAATAGATGATGGATTTCAAAGAAACACTGAAAACATTAAATTCCAGATATACAGTAGCTGTCTATGAGAAATGATGAATGAGTATGTCAATGCCAGTATCATCAAAGCCATTGGTAAATGATGATGATTTCTTTCATTAATTTTAATTAAAATTTCTCGACTGGTTCTACTTTTCAGTGCATACCACATAAAAAAGGGAATCAGCTCCCTATCATGACCCAGAAAGCTGCTGCAGTTTAAATGTGCACTTGGCTCAATATTTAACTAGCAGAATAACAAAACAGTCCAACAATTTATTGTTTTGTTATTACCTAATAAAACTACCAAAAAGTAATTTTTTTGTTGTTGTCAGTAATTGCAACTCGTTATCTTGTCGTCATTTTTAGACATTTACACAATAAATAATTCATTCTAATTATTTAAATAGTGGGATCACACCAGCTGCGATGCCATTTGGAAATCTGCCTTTATTTTGATCTCAAATACACACCTGTAAGGTTTCAAGACTGTATACTACGCATTTGTGACACTATTGCATTGACAAAATCTGTCACATAGACATTTAAACACCTGCTAAAAGACTCAAAACTAAAGGACTCTGCCGGAGCTGGACCACATTTTGCCACAATGACACACACAGACAGACAAAAGTTGAATCAGAAAGTCACAATGGCCGCCTTTATGTAAAATATGCATCTCTGGGGAATCTTCACAGAGGAGGTCAGCATTGCTCCTGTGCAGCTGTAATTGAGTTGTGTTCATGTGTGCTGATGTCCTCCAGAGGGCAGCAACTGTCTCCAAACAGTCAGTCAGCAGACTGTCGATGCTCAGTTCATCAAAGCTCCAGAGAGGAAAACGAACAGTGCTGCTTAGAGTTCTTACCCGCATTATCTTTTCTACTCTACACAAGAGCACTAAATAATAAAATGGCTATATGGGATACTGTTAAATATTCAGGACTCAGTAGGATCCAAACACAACAGCATATGTGACTGTTGGTAACCAGCTTTGAGGAAATTCACAACAAACGGGAACCCACCCTAAAGGGTTGTGTGGTCGGGGGATCTGAACATAGCATTTGTGAACAGCTTTAAAGAAGAGTTTATGATCATGATAAAGACTGACAACATAATGTAGAAGGTTTTACTCCAGCATAACACTCCCCACAACCACTCCACTGTAAACCAGATGCACATTTAGACGCTGCATTAAGCAGCGCTCTACCTGTTATAGCTGTAACTCAATCAATGTGGCATTTGATTGTATTACCTGGAAAAACACTGCCTGGTTCACTTCACTGCTCCATCAAGCTTCTGGTTCGACTCCACCCTTCTGCCTCTTTGTTCTCTGTGTTTCTCTCAGCATTGAGCATTGCTGCCATTATCCTCTTCTTCTTCCAGGCCTAAACTGTCATCCTCATTTTTGTTGCCTTCATCTGATGCTTCTGACTGCATATTTTTCGGCAAATATTTCTTCAGGGTTTGAAAGAAATAGCAACAATGAATGAAGACAAGGAAGTGAAAGGGGAAAACAAAACAAAAAAAGTGTCAGCAGAGAATTAAACATTAAAGCTTACAGGCACAGCACAAGGCATTTTGTTTGATGTGAAAACTTAAAAGTGTATTTAAAATATTGAAATGTATCTAAGACAGTGGCAGCCCATTCTGATTTATTTATATTGCTGTTTCTCAGCCGTATCACCCTGTCCAGTGGGTTTTGATGCAGCTGGGCTTTTTCTGTCTGATATGATTGTTTCTCAGCCAGGGACTGTTATCAGACCACACACATGCATTTGTGCACACAAGAAAACACATGCGCGCGCACACACACACACGCACACACACACACACACACACACACACACACACACACACACACACACAGTGTTATCAGCCTGAAGGCATCAGATTACCTACCTTAGCTACATTAGCACTAAAAGCCCAGCTTCTTATCTCTAATTGTTCATTAGGAGCTAAACTACTGTGTGTGTTGGTGTGAGCGTGTGTGGTCTTGGAACACTGACATGGTCAGAGGGCATCATGTTAGGGCAGCACTGACTCTAAAACAAACTCATTTAAACCAAAGAAAGTGTACTTAAACATAAGACAGCAAACATTTTATCTACTTAGCTTTACTGGATTTGGAAGGTCATCTTTTCTGTCCCAGGTCATGACTACAGCAATGAATGCAGTTACAAAGGCGATGTTTTCTGTCTGTGAGGAAATTCAAAGCTCCTATATCATCCATTTGAAATAATTTGCTCCCAGTTAAACATGACTACACATATAAGGATTTCACACAAATGGATGTGTAGTGTAGTTTACCCCAAAGCCCAGTGTCGACTTTGTCAACAAGTTCTCCAATCTCCTCTTCCTCATTGCTTCAAAATATGACAATATTTTCATTCTCTGATATTTCAACAGCCACATCTGCCCCCACTTTGACTCAATAATACCAGTATTGAAGAAATACAGCGAGCGCGCAGGTGGAAATGGAAAAAAGACCTAATTTCAGATCTCATTTCAATTTCTGAAAGATCTCTGGGGTGAAAAGCATCTGGCTGTCAAACATGCCAGAGCACATTACCACTTTGATCGCGTCACCAAAAAGTATTAAAATCCCAAGGAACTTTTTATTGAGTTAAATTCTGTCATCTATTACACTTCCAGCTCCTGCTCAGAAGCTTCCACGACTAAATTTAAGGATTTTCTTAATTTTTGTTCAGAGATAAAGCACTTGACATCAGAGCGAGTATCTGTGAATCTGTGAATAGTCTATCCATCTCCCTGAAAACACTTGAGCTCAAAATTCCCCTAACCCCATCCTCTGCCTGAACTTCATCACTTCATATCTTCTCTGAAGTCATCTATCTGCTCCCTCGACATAATTCTACCAACTACACTAAAGTCTTTAAAGAACTATTTGACATTCTGGTTTTCAGCATTCTGTCAGTCATCAATATGTCTTTAGCATCTGGCTAATAATTTCCTTAAGAAAGTAGTTTTTGTGCAAATTTTGTCCCAGTCAGAGGTCTATGACTTCACTGTTGGGTTGGTTACATGTGGGGAAAAAGTGAACAAAGGACTTGACATGTTCAACCAGAAAGGACAATGAAACAATGCTTTCTGTTTGATGTGAACATTGTATTCCATTTTTATTTTCTCAGTGAAATGGTTTCAACTTAGCTTGTAAGTCTTCTAAATGTATAGAAAAAAATTATTTGCATTTGGGTTTGTAGTGAAATATGTCACTGAAGCGCTTAAAGGCATTCCCAAGAGATACAGTATGTAAGCCCTGATTCTAGTTATGCAGAGGTTCAATAGTTTCCTTTTATGTTACTCACTTTGTAATTATGAATGCACTGTGAGCTCGGGTTCCCCCCAAGTGCTGGAGTACATTTTGTTCTATTTTCCTCTCTTGCTGCTCTCACACATTTCAGATTGTTTACCAGGACGAAGAAGTAGAAGAGAGCAGGTGGAAAAAGTCAGACAGAGTTCATGTGAATTTTCTGCTTTGAACATTCTAGATTTTTTGCTGAGGTGAAAACATGCTCCTTTTTGAGGATTCCAAATGGAAATCACATCAATCCTCTCTTCCAACATTTCTTTTTTGATCTGTCAGCCTCCATCTGCTATCTGCTCCACCTCCCCTCCTTTCCCTGCTCTTACTCCTATCAATCCACGGATGTGTCAGTCACAGATGTCAGATGTCAGAACAGATTTGCACTAAATATTTTAGGTTGTTGTTTTTTTTTCTGCAATAGATTTAAGTTATAGTATATTAATGTGCACATTTTATCTTTGTAATATATGAGGAGCTAAAACCCTAAAAAAAAAGAGAATGGATAGAGAAAGTGAGCAGATGTTTTTGGCAACTTCTATATTAGGTTTTGGTTATTTTTTTGTTTTTACTATTGTTTTGAGGTAAAATGTATGTAGATGGTCAATGGCAGTCCTAGTGGATGATGACCTTATGCTCAAAAGTGCAAAAAGTGTAAATGTACTCTACAAATCTGTTGCTCCTTGTCTCTTTAACCTCTGTGGAAGCAGGTTCCCCCCAAAAAGATATTTTTTTATTCTGAAAAAATGTAAATATCAGCATTTAAAACATATTTCAGGATGCGAAAAAAAACACAGACATTGCTAGACTTCTCTGTTTTTTCAAGAGTAGTGTTTTTTTTCCCATCCCTCCCCACTGTGAGATGTTCTAACCTTGTGCCCAATTAATTCTAATGACCTGAACTTTTTGCTCGCTTTTATGTTGTATCCAGGCATTGTCTGAACTCATCAATTAATCTGCTTTAAAACACTTTTCTTCTCTTCGACCATGGGGGCGTGAGCCGTGGTTTGGTGCCCCTGTTGTGCCAAGGCTCGGTACCAAGCTGAGCCACGGGAAGGTTCAGATTTTCAGGAGCACTTTAGGCTCTCTTTGATCAGATATTGAAAACCATTTTTGTTTCAATGCTTTAGTCAGGAGCAGCCACCCTTTGAAAATCTGGTTACACTTTCACCTTGATCAAATAAATGTTGCTCTAATTGTCATGACTTGTCATGAATTGTCATGAACCCTATCTTCAGAAATCTGTCCATCCAGTGCATATGTATAATGTGCATGTTTTTAAACTTAATCTGGACATAAATGCCTAAAAACACAGTCGTATGCTTTTTTCATGTGATATTAGTGGTGATGTTAGTCCTGCAGATGCTTTTGTTTGAGAGTTATGTTTGAGTTATGATATCCCACAATGGAACAGTTATCAATTAAATTTGGTTGAAAGTTATGATATAAACCAAGAAGCAAGTGATTTTTAACATCATTCGTTATTTCAAATTAAGTCTAATGTGTATTTGTAAGCAGATTTTGCACCTTTAAAATGTTTTACTTAATATGTTTTGCTTAACTTACATGGAGCTAATTGCAAAACCCAAATGTTCACATTTAATTCATATTTATTCCTACATATGTATTTGTCAGTCTGATTCCACCCCCATGTTTCCTTTTTGTTACCTGCAGGCTCTGTCCACAGTGTCAGGGGTCCCCAGCTTAGAGGATCGACCAGGCACCTTGGGCCAGTCTCAGTCCGTCATGAGTATCCCCAGGATGTCTCCCAAGGCTGACCCTAAGAAGAGAAGGGCCCCAGCACCACCGGGGGCCCCGACACCCAGCATGGGACATACCAGCTTCGAAAGCTATCAGGTGAGGGGATAAAAGGGCTGTACTGAATTTGTGATTTGTGAAATTTTGCAAACATCCAGCGTATCAAAGCAATCATTAATGCATCCATTCATGGACTGATTATTGTTTGTTGCACATACATTCTGAAAAAAAAAACATGTTGTAATGATGATACAACCTAGTTTTTGCATTTTAGAAATTCAAGCAGTTCAGTTAAGTATTTGAATAACTCACCTTTCACGATTGTCTTGAAAGAAGTCCATCTGAAAGCTGCAATCTGTCTGGCACAGCCTTTCCTTTGGGTGTTTTGGCCTCAAAGTCACAGTGACCTGTATTGCCTACATTAGAGCAACAGCTCCCTGCAGTCTCATTATAGTGCTGTGGCGGCATGCTGGGAAATGTTGTTTAGCAACCAGCATCCTTTCTTCCTCTGATCATATCTTTTGTTTATTTGAAGGAGCCAGTGTTCTTGGTGAATGTTATCCAGCAGAAGTTTTGTTCTGAGCATAACATGATTCATGGTGTCATCCCCCTCAGCTTAATTAGCTGAAATGAACAGAGGATGAAGGAGCAGAAAACATTTCAGAGAAATGCTGTGTGATTCACAGTGTCTCTTGTTCCTAAAATAATTAAAATTGAGAAGGATATAAAATCAATCATGTCACAAAAGTTGAAGAATTAGTACTCATTTTAGTCTATGTGTATCCCTGAAGAGTTTGTTGTTAACATATCCCAAGTTAACTGATTTAGTTTATAATGGTACAGTAAGTTTAACAGTTACTTAACTTCCAGTGGATCATATGAGAGGGTATGCATTTGTCATGATTATTACCTAACATTCCTCTTTTATTGCACTGATTTAAACCTAATTATAGATGCATGATATTTGCTCTTTCCTTCCACGGTGCATTGTGACTAATAACAAGCTACTTATAGCTACTATGATTATTTTTAGCATAGCAAATTGTAGTTCTGCAGGCGGAGATGGTAATTTATCTGCCCACCTGTCAGATTAAGAGTTATAACAGACACCAGAGCTGCAGCACTGAGACACCACTGGGACTCGCAAGGGCAGCGAGACAGAGCAGGAGTTGGGAAGGTTATCCGAGGACTTGATGACTGGTCTAATAATAGATTTCGCCATCTCGCTCTTATGCCTTCTCTGAACTGTTACCCTGTCTGTGCACAATGTCTCATGTATATTTATGCATGTCCACAAATTGCAAGGTCATACTGTGGTGCAGGACACCTCTCATGTTTCACCTCTCTGCTTCCTACTGTTGCTTGTTGAGCAAAGAGATTGAGGACAGGCGATGGTGGCGTCCAGCTGGTCTTATCAACAGTTCAGCTTCAGGTCAACATGTGACAGAGTTTTCCATGCATGTGTATATCGTATACACTAATAACAGAATAGGCATCTGTAAAAACTGCAACATATACAGTGAATTCCTGTACATTTCCATCAACTGCAGTAGTCAGCATATTGATTGATAAGTAGATGAAAGGATGAAAAGTTTGAAGCATTGACAGATTGTTGATTAGTGATTAGTAATGATCTAAGTGGGGTGTGTGTGATTAGCTTGTGTCATCTGAGGACACAGAAGTGTTCAATGATTAGCAGCATGCTAGCTATGCATTTGTTGTGTGAATGTGATTAAAAAGGATTTAGTTTCATGACAGTGAGGAGTGCCATAGCAGCCAGGTCTTATCAGGACAGTTTCTTAGGGGCATTGGCATTAAGGAAAGCTGCATGACTTGAATCTGTGGAACAATTGTACATGCCAAATGAAATCACATCAAAATCAGAAGTTGTACTTTCCAATTTACATGAAATTTGGCGTTGTAGTTGCTGCAGGCGGTGTAGAAGCTACACTGGGAAAAAAAAGGCACACTTTGCTTGTCAGTAGAGGAGCGCATCGTCATCTAAAAGTTCAAGCTCCAGTGAAAACAAATGTCAGGCCATAGCTTTTATTTGTTGAAGATGTGGCCCAGCTCACCTTGCAGATCACAGCATAAACAGGTGTCAAATGTAGTGGTTACTGCTGCTGGATTTGTTGATTTTGCTGACTCATTCTTGTCATAGCCTTAATCAACTTTCATTTCTGTAGCATGCGGTTTCTCTCTGTACCTACTCCACCTTTTGTTTATATATATAAATACATATATATACGCACACACACACAGCATGAGAGCATGTATGAGTGTCTACGTGTCTTTGAGTAAGAGGGGGATTAGGTGCATGATATCAAGTCATCTGAGGACAGCTCTCTGTGATGACTGTCCTCATTATAGACCTCCCTCTGTGCCGAACAAGCTTAGGTAGTCAACTAATTATGACTTACAAGACACAGTAATGGACACAGACATCGCAATATAAGCTATAAGAATGATGAGATTGTTATAACGAAGCTAAATGGCTTTAAATAGCCATTTGCGAGACAGAGATCACAAAGGGCGGCCATTTAAATCATAGGAGGAACATAGTTAGATTAACATCACCGACGGGATTAGGAGGATCAGAATCTCTTGTTGTTGACTGTGGAAATATTGGTCAAATTCTGGGCCCCATTTTAGGGCAAAATGACAAGCCAGCAGTTATTTACAACCTCTGTCTGTCACAAATGATCAATGTAGGACAAGTGGAATTTTTGCTGCATGTAACATTTCACTGCACTTTTGTTGGGATTTATGTTCATGGCCTAAGAACTTAAATACATTTATTTTGAGCCACAAGTAGTCAGGTTGAGTAAAATACCTGAAACTTAACAGCCTTGTTTTTGTTCAGTGATCATATTGTTTATACATAGTAGTGATCGTTTTTCTTTTCTCTTTCCTTTTTTTTTTTTTTTTTTTTAGCAAAAAGAGGGTCACAGAAGTTGTTAGAGTGTTAAAACAAGGGCTGGGATTTGATAGCATCTTATCAAATTTGAACCCTTTATCAAATAGACTTATCAACTCTGATTCCTTGGTATTGAATTGTCTTTAAGACTTAAAACACTACAATACTTTCTGGAAGTTTCACCTGAAAGAAACATCAACAGATTTAGTCAGTAACAATCTGTACACACTGTAAGGCTGAAATGAACAAACTTCAACTGTATAGGTCAGAGATGCTTGAAAAGAATTTGGAAACACAATAAATCTCATTGTGTTGACACCATGCCAGTGCGAGATTAGAAAAACTTTGACAAAGATTTGCATTTTTAAATATGCCTAATCAGAACAATAAATTTGAAAAATAATAAATAACAGCCTTATAACAATGAGTGAGTGAGACTAATGTTATTGAACCTGTTGTAAAAATCCTCACGTTTAACTTTACCAAATATAATGCTGGGAATAAATGAAAACCCTGCATTTGTTAATGATTTTGGATTGAAGTGTTTTGACTGATGCACAATAAAACTAACTGTTACAACCCAACCCTGGTTGCAATGAAAACTCCATCATCTATATTTAGGATTTTATTTTATTTACAGTTATCAGTGTAATATGCTGACCTTTTTGAGGTCTGCTGGGCAGGAAGCTTTACACCAGGGGTCTCCAATCCTGGACCTCGAGAGCCACAGTCCTGCATGTTTTAGCTGTTTCTCTCTTCCAACACAACTTATTCAAATGATCAGCTCATCATCAAGCTCTGTAGAAGCCTGATAACGATCCTGATCATTTGAATCAGGGGTGTTGGAAGAGGGAAACATCTAAAGCATGCAAGACTGTGGCTCTCGAGGACCAGGATTGGAGACCCCTGCTTTACACAGTAGTGAGAATAGGAATAGCAAGGCCACTGAAAACAAATGACGTTATATTTCAAGAAGAGTGTGAAATTATTGTCGACTGCAGGAGAATCCAAAGTTCCACAGGGACTCCTTATGCTGGAGTCAACCTGGAGTCAGAGGAGTTTACAGTTCTGTTTCGTCAGCTCACCAACAATATGTCTTTATGAGAGCAGCGATTAATTAAATTATGTTTTGGAACACTGAGTTCAGAGAAACACAACCTTGTTGTTTTTCCAGCAGCGATAGGCAATCTGTTATTGTGGTTTTGAAAGGAGGCCATGTCTGCACTGCCTCGTGTGACAAAGGAATTGAGATAAATTCTGAGCTTTCTGCTTCACTGCCGAGTAAAATAAGGTGCATCTCGAGTAAACATATTTGTGCTCTTCTGCATTATTGTGTGGACACAAAGAGTTAAAGATGAAGACAGAACAACTCAAGCAGAGAATGAGAAATAGGATTAAGAGCAGAAGAGAGAAGCTGAGTGACAGTTTTATAAACACACAGAGTCAAAATAAGGTAACACAGGACGTATAAGGGTTTAGAAGTGTGTATTTGGGTTGTGCAACATTAACAATGCATTAGCTTTGGGGTCATATTTCCAAAATGCAGTACAGCATGAAATCTGGTTTGGCATGCCCTTAGCACTACCCTCACCTTGCAGGAGGAGGACATGTCAGGGTAAAAGTTCATCAGAGGACAAGCAGCGTTAAAGAGCAAGGGTGAAGGAGTAATAAGATCAGTGGCGTTAAGCAGGGTGTCTTTAAGTCTGCAAAAAAAATTTACAAATGTTCCAAAGTAGGTTACCTACGACTAAGTATAGTTGTAGGGCACAATCTTGCCTTTGTCTTTGTGCCCTCCTTAATCGATCAAACTGGCTGAGTTGTTTTTTTTGGTCATCTGTGACTCAAGAAATAGAGAGTTGGCAGCAGAGGGAGGCTTGATTTTTTACATCCTTCCTGCAATTATCTAGAACGGTAGCTAACTCTGATTTGCTCTGATGCTTTGGTTCAATCAGCCAGACAAAACACTAGTTGTGCTTGGATCTGTGTGGAGTACTGTTGAGTTCCTTTATAGGATTTTCTTTTTTCCTCTTGCTTTCTCACATGCAAGGCTTAACTTTAGTTGGATAAGAATCTGTGAGAAAACAAGAGAGCAAAATACGGGAAATATAAAACTAAGAAAATCAGTGCAAAGAGAGAAAGAAGGAATGTATCCATGCTGCTTCTGATTTGTGATGTCAGTACA